TAAATCCAGGGTGTGGTGTGGCACTGATGAACCACATAACTATCCTCCAGTTTGAGATTCCCTCCCCTTCCTACCTATTGTGGTCCATACACGATATACCTCATCAGTCATGTTAGATTTGCATTGGTTCATTTAAGATTGCTCAGTACATGGTAGCCAAGACAGATGACCCCTCAGAGACAGTGACAGGAGTAAGGTTCCCTGAGGGTATGGGAACTAAGGGGAGGGGGTTGATAGTATTGATGATTGTATAGCCCACCAGATGGGACTGAACACCCGAAATGTATGGAAAGGGATATACGGGAATGAGTAAGACATGTCACTACTATATCATTCATAAAAAGAAAAAAGATGCTCTCTATCAATGACAGAACTTGGCTATCGAGGACTTTTTTCATCTTTCTTTAGCTTGACCGTTAAATTGCATATAAGCAATTGGTGATCTGTTTCTCAGCTGTGTCCTGGCCTTGTTCTGTGTACTGACACCGAGCCGCTCCACCATGTTTCTCTACAGCAGTCCATTTGATTCCTGCGTATCATCGGATATACAGCCAAGGCTCATGTTGTTGACATTTCCAATGAAGAGCTTTTGGTATTGAAAAACCGTAACATGCAACCTTTGGTATGGTTTCCATCACCAAGGCCATATTTTCCAACTATTAATACTTCGCGTGTTCATGATTTTCACATTCCAAATCATGAGAAAAATACTATTATTATATATACTCTAAGACTGTAGTGATACTTTAATGTCAGCAATAAAAAGAAGAAGAAAAACATTTCAAATGTCTGATTGTGATGTTACACAATCAGGTGGCACAGGTGGATTGTGATTGGCTACTAACAGTGGCTGAGTAGCCAAGAAGGCCTGGTACTGTGCTTCCATAAGGTTACAGCCAGGAAACTTGAGGGAGTTCTGGTATGAAGCACATAGGGTTACTCAGTTGGAACTAATTCAACAGCAGCTAACAACACTAGTTTTAATTCTGGAAAACAGGTTTAGATGTTTGTAAATGAAAATACCACACAAAGGAAGAAGACATTTCTACTTAATAAATTCAGGTAACAAATGATATTGGAATTTTTATTATTTACAGAAATCCATGGCAGCTAGCATCTAAATCCACCTGTCATCATAAGAGAGTTATTTTAAGTGTTTGTATAGTCTGTATACAAAATAGTCTGTCAAGAAGAGCTTTTTAATGACTCCTGAATTAACATTTTTATAGACAGCCTATTTCTAAGGAATTATAATAATCAAAGTGAATGGACTCAGGACATCAATGAGGTACAGGTTAATTAATCTGGTTAGATTTCATTAGATTCTGACACCTAGCTTTGTTTCAGTACTCACTCCTTTATCACTTCCTCTCTCCCACATACACTTAAGGTAGGTTAGCAGGCTCTTCCTCCAGAGTTCAAGTTTTCCGCACAGGGAGAATAAAAGGAATTGCTTCAGCAGGTACTATTTAATGCATTAAAGACAGTTTAACCCAAATGAATACGTTCTATACTTTTCCACAAGCTAGCCAACTAAGTAATCAGCGATGATTTCTTCTGTACAATGAAAAACGGGCTATTTCCTTTACAGTCATGCCAACTGAAAAATAGCATGATCAAGGACATCTAGTGTCTTGGAATAGTTTCCTCCCACACCTCAATGTCTCTGTATAAAACGTCAATAACTGGCAACTTACAAGAGTGGACTACACTTAGGGTCCCAGGTTCTTCAAACCCACTCGAGTCTCCTCAGGGTGGTGTTTGATCTCCTGCTTGATTTCAGAAGAAAAACCAAGACAGCATGGTGCTACTGCATTATTTGGGAAGAAAAACCTATCTTAGTCGATTGACTATTTGTTTCCTGCTGAAATCATACCCGAGAAAGAAAATAACTGTCTGGGTGACCGAGGAACACAGCATTTTTATCAGAATGGAATCCTACAGCGGCTACTATCCAAATACCTGGGCACATCAGCAACTCTTAGAATTCTGGATGTAATAGGGCCTGGTGGGAGGAAGGGGCATAAAAGTGAACAAATGTTCAGTGGGATATGGGACTGCCTGCTGCTGACAGTGGAGAAGCCATTCTGACTCACGTAGGGCAAGGCAATCATTAATCTCATACTCAGTTGCAGGGTTCCTGATAAACAGCCCATTTTAAGCAACAAATAATTGAGTCATGCAAAGTGTGACTAGTAGAAGATGAAAAACAGATTCCGGGACTCGATCACCTATCGTGAAAACTCGTCTACAGTCTCTTCTTAATTGTGTTACCAGGCTTCCAAATGCACTCGATTCTCTGTAGAACATACTGGCAGATGCCTGCGACCTAATAACATTTCTCTATAAGCCTGGACCCTTCTGCTCCTGTGAACTCAGTTACAGGGATAAGTTAGTTGTGTTTACAACAAGTCTTTTCAAGTTGTACCTTTTCCATTGC